GAGAGAGAGAGAGAGAGAGAGAGAGAGAGAGAGAGAGAGAGAGAGAGAGAGGAAGAGGGAGAGAGAGAGAGAGGACTATATTAAAAATATTGGTATCAGTAAAGAGAATTGAATTTTTTGAGGTGGTTTCTCACATTAAGGTGGGGAATTTAATGTTTATTGTTTTCTCTAGCTAATTACCACCCTCTTCATTTATGAAGATACTTGTGGATGAGCATGGCATATGATGTGATTTATTTTTCTTGTTTTTCTACAAACATGTACTAATCCACTTTGCAAAAGCTCAGTATTCACCCTTGCAGAGTGAATTAATATTAATGCATCTACATAGTTGTACAATGAACCATAAAGGAATTTGGAATATTTCTATCATGCTCCTCACCCTGTTTCCACACTCCCAGTGCCCATATCCCCTCACCCTGGACTGTCACTAATCTATGCACTGTCTCTGTAGGTTTGGAATGGTCATCTGGCATGATATCTCCCACTGAAAATCCAGGATAGCTTACAATATTTGGCCACGACTTTCTGCCTCTGAAAAATAGATATTATTCTTGAGTTTCTTGCTGAATTAAAGGATCGAGTACAATTTACATAAGGCAAAAATTAGAAACTAGTTAAAGCACGTGGGTCTTTTCTTCTCTCGCAGAAGGAGATCCATATTGCCAATGATAAAAAGCAGATCGTGTAGGCACCAGGCACTGAGCAATATGTATCCTAAGGTCCCTTTGGCACGTGGGGACCTGGGCATGTGTTGGGGGGGGTACGTTTGAAAGGATCTCTCAAGTTTAACAAAGATTTATCAAAAGGGCGGGGGGTCAAAGTGTTGGGCACACGCTGTTTAAGAGCAAAACTTCTTCCCCTCAGAAAACTGACCATAGACTAAACATAAATCAGTCTAAACTCTTCTTCCCTGCCTCTACAGGGGTCTCTAGGGAGCAGGTTCCTCCGGGTAGGCAAACTGGAGCCCAAAACAAGCAAGCTTTTCCTCCTGCCCTTTCCCCTTCTTCTCGCTGGCACAGTTGAGCCTCGTTACAATTTGCTCAAATATTTGGAAGTGAATTTAGAGTCCTCCCCCCAACTTATGATTTTATAGCCAATAGGTGATGAGGCTTATTTGCATATTTCCAGTCACTTAAACAGCTGTGCAGTGGAAACAGTGTCAGACTCGATTCCTCCTCCTCCTCCTCCTCCTCCTCCTCCGAGGAATTCTGCCCCTTGTAGCAGTTCTGCCCTCCCCTTTAAAGGTTGACTTGCCCTGCGGCGCTCCACCGCGCTCCAGTCCTCTGGCGCCTCCGGCTCAACCCTTTGCAACGCCCGCCCGACTGCCCGCACCGCGCAGTTCCAGCCGCAAAGCAGAAGGGCGCTCCGAGAGATGGAGAGCAAAGCCCTGCTCCTGGTGGCCCTGGGAGTTTGGCTCCAGAGTTTGACCGCTTTCCGTGGAGGGGTGGCCGCAGCAGACGGTACGTTTTCCGCGCCAACTCCCCTCCACCTGCGGACCCTGGCCGGGCCACTTTTTCTCCATCTGAAGATGGGAGGGAGAAAGTTGGAAAGGACTTGCACTGGGACTCCCAGGCGCAGTAGCCAAAGAGATTCCCGGGAAGGGCGGCTGGAGTGGAATCCAGGAGGAGAAAGGAGAGACTCTGTCTCCCATCACGCTGCGGCGATTCCGGGTTCCCGCTTTTTTCTCCTTCTCTTTCTCCCGAGTTCCCGCTCCGTCCCCTGCTCTCTCCTGCCGCCAGCCATCGCAGGGAACCGCGGGGGCGGGGGGTGTGGCGCGTGGGATTGGCGGCGGTGGGGAGACGCAGAGGTCTTGGGAAGCTGTAGTGACCGATGGTAACCTCCCTATAGGGAGTGGGTGTGCTGAATGCAAGGCACGCCGGCCAAGGTGACCCTAACTTTGCTGGGATCGCGGGTCAGACCCCTCTGGAAGCGGGAAGGGTGAATCGAGTGTGCCCCCATCGAGGGTGCGGGTGGGAGGACGCGTTGTGTGTGCTTCCCAACTGCACCCGGCACTGTCGCTCTCGGCGCGGGGCTGTGAGCCTCTGTGAGAGTGGGAGTGCGCGATGGTGCCGGGGAACGCGTGGCGCGGAGTCCTGGGAACCAGCGTCCTGCAAGCGTTCCATGCGCTCAGCTTAGCTCAGTACCCAAGAAAGCTCAGCAAAGAGCCTACACTGCAGAAAATAAGGCTCAACCACCAGCAGACTGGAGACTGGCTTGGAGGTTGCCAGTTCAGCACTGTGTCCTATCCTTGCTGTCCTAGGAGAGAGGCTCACCCTGAGAGAGGGACTCAGCTAGCTGAGAGAGCACATGGGATTTTCTAGAGCCGAAAGGAGGTCGCTTTCACCACTATGGTCCCCAAAGCGGTCACCTCCACGGCTCTGCCTGCTCTCTGTCTAGAGAAGATGACTGGGGTCAATATCAAGTTGTTTTATAGTCTTGAAGTCGAGACCTGCCCACAGTTGAGAAGCCTTGTAACTTGAACCTTGATTGAGCTAACAGAACACAGACTCAAAATGTGACTGAACCTAGTCATAAAAGAAGGCTGGAGTTTCCTTGTGTTGCTGCTGGTGGAATCGCCATGAGGGTGGTGTCCCCCGGAGGTGCTCTAAGGTGGCACGTCCGCAGCCTAATTCCAGTCTTAGTGGAGTCTATGGCTGTGTCTAAAAGCTCGCTTTTATTTCTGCGTATAGTTGTAAATGTCTTGTTATCAAAGAAAAGAATCCATCCAGGCAGAAGAACTGCGTGAAAGATAAGAATCTCGGGTATTTTGAGGCTACTAGAGAGATTCTGCCTTTCCAGTGGCAGGTTGTCTTTCTACATAGTTTGCAACTCTGGTTAAGAAAATAGGAGCAAGCTTTCAATTCACATTTCAGAAAGGACACCACAGTATAACACGACTTTTACCGTAAACTCCCATAGAAAAGTCGTCCACATTTTTAGGTTTTGCTAAAGGTTCCTTTGGAAGCTCTGGCCCCAGCTTCTCAGCTACTTAGTGTCACCCTTCTGGGTTTAGCTGCATGAGCTCTAACATTAGGAAAGTTGGCAAGACTCAAAGTGCCCTGGGGCCCCTCCCTTACACCTCGATTTAAAGGGACACCTAAGTAATTACATAATAATTTTGGATTTTAGCCAACACCTGATTTTCCTATCAATAAAATGCATTTGGGGAATATTATTCCCAAGCAATGTGAAACCATTTCCTCTTATCATCTTTCCGAAGTTCTCTCTACACACCATTTACAGGGGGGTGGGGAGGTTGCTTCTACCACAGCAGGCCTAGCCCTTTGTCCCACAAATGAATTCACCCAGGGGTAAGACTGTGGGTGAGAAAGGCACAGCTTGGAGTGATCCCAGCTCCCCTCTGGGCTCCCAGTTTCCTTGTTCACTCTTGATTTTTTTTTTTTCCACGAACAGTGTGTGAGTTTGAGAGGCATTGCCCTGGGCTTCTTCCCAGAGCCCCTGGAGCGTCTCCTGGTCCCAGGCAGGAAAGCAGAGAGCTAAGAGAAGAGAGGGAGCATAGAGGCTCGTTCTTCAGCCACAGTGCTCACGTGCAGGTCAATATCGGAGTTAAATAACTGGGAGATGACGTTGGAAAGAGCTTGTCAAGGGAGTGATTGATTAATAGCGGCATTGAAAGGTGTGGGGAGACAAGTGGGGGAAGAGTCGCAGTGGGGAGATGTTCGGTGCCTTTGACAGAGTGTATTTTTAGCACAGCCTCCCTTTACTGCAGCACTGCAGAGGAGACTGCTAGACTCAGCTGACTGTTTCTATTCTGTCAGATTGTCCAGTCGAGTTGATGAAAACAACCCAAAGGGTCCTGTCTTCTTTTCCTCTGACCAAAGCCTGTTTCCACATTATCATCACCAAGGCTGCATTATGACGTGTGTGGCTCTTCTGAGAGAACCATATTGTGATGGTGACAGAGTTCTTCTGAGTCTTCAGACACCTGGTGCTCCTTCATTGATGGCATTCATCTTGTCTTCAGTGTCACCTGTTACTTCAGTGCTGCTACTTTTCTGACAGCAGTACCATCTTCTCTCTCTAACCCTGCCCTCTCTATGGTGATTTGACTAAGCCTCGTTTCATCTCTGTGACTATTACCCATATCAGGATAAATTTCGTTCCTTTGTTATACACTGCACTTGAGCTGTCTTTTTGGAAAAATAGGAATAAAGATTACACAGTAAAGGGAACACATTACCTTCTGATTTGCCTACATAAACACATCACCCCAGTGTGTAATGAGGACCTATCTGGGTGGTCACAGTTGTCAGGGTAAAATTCAGGATAGAAGCCTTTGAAGGACATACCTCTGCCTCTCTCCTTCATTCCTTCTCATCTCCCTCACTTCTTCAGTGTTCTCCTCCTCTTCCTTCTTTCCTCCCTCTTGTCCTCCACCCTTCCTTTCTCCAACATGGACTTAATTTTCCTAGGAAAATTGCGAAAGGCAGCACAGTTGAATGAATGCAGAGTCACTGATACATTTCCTAGTTTCCTTAGCAACAGTCACCTCAGATTAGTCAAGCTCACCTGACATTCCAGCGGGCAACCCAGAGTGTACCTCGATGATGAAATCTACTTATGGAAGCATGCCTGGGGTTCATCTTCTTACCTGACTCTACATGCTCTTATCAGTTGCTGCTTCAGGGACCACAGAGGTTGAGAAATCTTTAGGATACTGAGACAATCTTAAAGGGCAGCAAACACTAATTAGCAATATGAAAATTCCTCCTGTATAGACTAAGCAGCAGAAATATCTGTGACTTCATAGCTAACACAAAATTAAAACTATTGCCTAGCTCATTAGACAACACCATTTTAATATGAAAACTTCACACACACACACATTCTCGTGCACACACACCACACATACACACACATGCACACACAAAAACTTCCCATTAAAACTAAAATGAAACTTTCCTTGTGCAAATATATCTCTGTGATGGTGGATGAATTCCTGTCTCTTTTCTCATCCAGCAGTGGGTCCAGTAGACACGCTGGTTGTATAGCATCCAACCTGAGCCCTGGATATGGATCTCCACATTAAACTGGATATTTTTTCATGGAAACATACAAAGTCAGCCTTAATAAGTTCAGAGAATACCCATGGCCATTTCAAAATCAGCAGGACCACTAACTTGCCAAATTCTCGGGTAAAAAAGGCCACAAGAGAGCAGCATTTCTGGAGCTGTTGAAGGTAGTCTTCTGACGCAGCAGTGCAAAAGTGGACAGTAAGGGAGCTTGTCTTCTGGATCCTTCACTTGCCTCTGGTTGAAGAAGACTCATAATCAGGCTGGCTAGATGGCTTAGCAGATTATGGCTGTATGAAAGCCAGACGACCAGAGTTTTATCCCCAGATCCCACAGGGTGGCAGGAGAGAACTGAGTCCAACCTCCACACATGTGCTAGAGAAGGTGTGTGTGTGAGAGAGAGTGAGTGTGTATGTGTGAGTGTGTGTTTGAGTGTGTGTTTGAGAGAGGGTGTGTGAGAGTGTTGTGTGAGTGTGTATGTGAGTGTGTGTGAGTGTGTATGTGAGTGTGTGTGAGTGTGTGTGTGAGTGTGTGTGAGGGTGTGAGAGAGGGTGTGTGAGAGTGTGTGTGTGAGTGTGTATGTGAGTGTGTGTGTGAGTGTGCATGTGTGTGTATGTGTGAGTGTGTGTGCATGTGTGTGCGTGTGTGTGTGTGTGTGTGTGTGTGTGTAGACTGTCAGAAAGGAGAATGAACTATTAGAGGTGGAGAGAGGCTAATTTACTTTCATATTTTGTAAAACACTTTCTAAAATAAAATAACTTGTTGGGCAGAATCAGATTAATTAAGGTTTTTTTTGTTTTGTTTTGTTTTCTTTTCTTTTCTTTTTTGTGGTTTTTTGAGACAGGGTTTCTCTTATAGCCGGGGCTGTTCTGGAACTCACTCTGTAGACCAGGCTGGCCTCAGGTTAATTAAGTTAATGGCGCGTAATTTGTTTTGTTTTGTTTTGTTTTTGTTGTTGTTTTTTTGTTTTTGTTGTTGTTGTTGTTGTTTTGTCAGCTCGTGAGGTTAGCAGTGTTTTCTGGTTTAGAAGGAGGAAGAATGGCTGACTCATCAGCTCAGATCGGGACTGCACGGACTCCTGGCGGCAGGATAAACTCCGCGCATCAGGAAGAGCTTTAAAGACCAGGAGTTTAACATAGTCTCTGAGTTGGATAAACGCATGTAGAGTCCTTAGCAACTATTGTGAAACTCATTTATCTCTAGCAACTGTAATTATTAAGACATATCTCTTGTGTTGTAGGTAGTAGAGACTGAATCGCTGCTTATAATGAATCCCTCAGACACTAACCAAAGCATCTAAACGTAATCCTTAAGAAGGACAAGCTTGCCAGCCTTCAGAAAACTGCACGAGGAGCCAATTGCAATTTCACTTTTAGTAAATCCTTCTTACTGTCTTTCTTGTCTTGACTTTTGCAATGTCAGTAAATTAGAGGTCTCAATTTTTAGCTATAAAAAAGGAATATATTTATATTGAGACATGAGTAGTGTCTTAATTATCTCAATTGTTCATTTTCTGAAAAATTTAAAAGGGAAACATTCCAACTTTATATGTATATATAAATATATTTATATATAAAGTTAATATATTTATAAAGTTTATTTAATATATATTAAATAGTAATATGATAGTAATAATAATTATAGTATGATCGTAATAATAGTAAATAGGCTGTGTCTATAATTTGACCAAGAATTAAATAATTGTCCTGTGGTCTGTTTCCTGAGAAGGAAAGATTTATCAGCATTTAGACATATGTCAATAGTTGCATACTCTAGGTTTATCTTCTCTCCTTATTCAGTTCAAGACTTAGTGTGAAGAAAGGAAACAAGCTTTTTCTACAGCCAGATTTACTGTTATTTATTTATTTTGGTTTTTTGAGACATGGTTTCTCTGTGAAACCCTGGATGTCATGAACCTCACTGTGTAGACCAGGCTGGCCTCAAACTCACAGAAACCTTCCTGTCTCCAGGTACTTCCAAGTGCTGGGATTAAAGGCATGCACCACCACCACCTAGCTAAGAATTTGCCATAATTTTAAAGGTCTGACTTCGTGTGAAATATTCTAAGGACAAAAGGAACAAGAGAGCTACCTGGAGAATGTATTGACTGTGGTTTACACACATCATGGTATCTTTGAAACCTCCACTCTCTCAAAATGGCTTGAGACAAGACATGTTGCAGTTAGAATAGTAAATGTTTCCCAACTTTCCTTCTTTTAAAACCCTGATAATCGGGGGAGGTGGGAGTAGTCCTTCCTTCAAATGAGTCTGATCATGTTCTCATAGGAAAATTTTAGATGAATATAATAATCATATTTAAAGAAAGTGGAACATAACAGGAACCATGCCACATGAGATCTATGTGCAGTGTTCTCCAGGAGCATAAACTTTGAACTTGAACCAGAAGTCCTGGGTGCTAGTCCGCCCTGTCTGTCCCATCTTAGCCAAGTCACTTGAGACATGATGAAATTATGGAATTTCTACATACTAGTCCACTTGTGTGAATTAAGTGCACACCCACATACTCCCTAACTGGACAGGGACTGAGAGCTAGGGCTGGCAGTCAGATTGCTTAAGTCACAGTTAAGGTCATCTCCGTCCATCAGTGGGACATCAGGCATTCTCTTGCAACTCACATTCTTTTTTTCTTTTAAAAATATTTTTATGTGCTCCTGTATACAGTAGTGTGTGATGTTCGCATGTGTACAGGTACACATGTGTACATGCGCATATGTAGGCCTGAAGCTGATGGAGGCTGTCTTTCTTGATCAGTCTTTCACCTTATTCTTTGAGGCAGGGTCTTAGAATCAAACCCAAAGCTCACCAATATGGCAGCTACTACCGCTCTCTCAGAAGATCCCACCTCTGCCTTGTGAGGCTTCAATTTCAGGCAGGTCACCACACCCACCTGGCATTTGTGTGGGTCCTGGTTTTCTGGACATGGGTCCTCACGCTTGCACAGACCCATATTTCTTTTTGAAAACCTGCTTTAGAAAAATCAAGGGTGCTGTTGGCATTGGCTGCACGTGAATCGAAAACCTGTCAGTGCTGAGTAAAACCAAATAATCCCTCCAATTTCCTTTCCTGTAGTGGGAAGAGATTTTGCAGACATCGAAAGTAAATTTGCCCTAAGAACCCCTGAAGATACAGCTGAGGACACTTGTCATCTCATTCCTGGACTAGCAGACTCTGTGTCTAACTGTCACTTCAACCACAGCAGCAAGACCTTCGTGGTGATCCATGGATGGACGGTAAGAGTAATTCTGGAGCCAAGAGTAGGTTAGGGTCAATCAGATCCCAGCTATTGGAAACCCACCATCTGTAGCTGTCTGCTCTCTGACAGCTTCCTTCTAAACTTGGATAGAGGCAACCTTGGTTCATGGCAGCCCCAATAGTTCCAAGTTCATTGATTCTTCCCCGGGCTGGTGCCTACCTTTGTTTCAACACAGTGCCTTGGGTCATGTATGGAGGTGAAAAAAGCATGTTCCACTCAACACTAGATAAAGACATGTTACCATTTCGGGAAGCCAGTGGAAACCTGGCATGATCTTCATACACACAGGATGAGCTACCCAAGAACCAGGAAAAGATTTGTTCATTCATTCATTCATACATTTATACGTTCACCAAAGGCTCTTTCCTAAGGGTCATCTGTGAGATTAAGGAGGCCAGAGAAGAAGAGCTGCTCTGGTCCGGTGCTTCTTGGCTGTTCTCCAGCCCTGCAATGGGATCAAATCATTTGTCATGTTCAGGCCTCACTTTACTAACCTAGAGTAAAGCAGAGGGTGTCATCTAGACTTCACTAAGGCCCCTCTGCTTCCAATTTGCCCCACATACAAACTTAAGGGAGTTTATCAGAGAACTGTCATGGAAGAAGGCTGGAGAACGTTCTTAAGGAGGTAGTTCAGGCTATAAAGTGGTTTGTCTTGAAAGCATAGGACCTAAGTTCTATTCCCCACTTAATAAATAAATAAATAAATAAATAAATAAATAAATAAATAAATAGCAGGACACTGGGACATAGCCTTATAATCCCAGGGAGACACAGACAGAGAGAACTGTGGAACTCACTGGCCAGCCAGCCAAGCTACTTGGTGAATTTCTGATCCAGATTCCCATCTCAAAAAGCAAGATGGCCAGCTCCTGAGGAGCAATACTTCAGGCTGTCCCAAATGTACCCACCCAGACACACGCACACACAAAAAAAGGGGAGGAACAAAAGTACAAGCTGTGGTTAAAGCTACTTATTTAAAATATTCATAAACAGCCCCTCCCAAACATGCTAAGTAGTTGCTTTCCATGGTCCTGTTATATGAATATTTCAACGTACTTTTATAATTTTCAGTTTCTAGTGAGCAGGTTGTATTATATATTAAAAATGATTTATATAAGATAGGTGGTTAAAGATTCACCATCTTCCTGTTTGGATGCAGCTTTTGAATGCTATATACTGATATATAGCAATATACTGAATTCCAAGGAGAAGAATTAGGTAAAAGCAATATACATCCAATACAGATATCTCTTCCCACACACCGAAGTGATTTTGTTACTGTAATCATTTATAATTTCTATGTATATGTCAACAGCAAGATCCATACAGATAGTTTTGTTTTTAAAATATCCTTTACTAGACTGAACCCAGTATGGTATACAGCATAAAAGTCTAAGTCCCTAGCATAAACTATAAGTTATGTGAAATATCTTTATATCTGAGGTGTTTGGAGACAGTTTGGATGTACATAGTATGGCTCTTAATTCTTCCCAAGAAGTTTAAGCATGGCAAGCACCTGCAAGTCTCAACTCATGCATCTCAGTCAGACCCCTGAAAGAATTTGGTGCTGTAGAAAGTTGCAGCGGAGCCAGGCAGTGGTGGTGCACGGCTTTAATCCCAGCACTTGGGAGGCAGAAGCAGGCGGATTTCTGAGTTCGAGGCCAGCCTGGTCTAGAGAGTGAGTTCTCTTATTAAGACAGCATGACTAACGAAGTGTGTAGACATAGTGCCAGATGCTGCCCCGGTCCTTCTGCATCACAGAACACACCTGTGCTCCGCAGACCGCATCACATATTGGTGTTTTGAGTGCTAGCCTCAGGCGAGGTTGCTGGTCACACTGGCTGTTTCCCTATCACACAGGCTTGCCTTGTCTGGAACCGTAAAGCCAGCTGATCCTGGCTTATCTGAGCAAACGAGGGTTGGGTTCAGTCAAAACACCTGCTACAGGCAGCAGAGTGGGCTCTGGTTCCGAGGCTTGTCTGACGCAGACTTGTAGGAAAAGAAATCTAGAAAACACGACCTTTTCTGAGTAGAGGACAGTGCACAGCTCCCTCAACTCCTTTTGTTTCTTTTGTTTATATTGAATCAAAAAAAGGGAAGGGTTAGACAAGGTGCAATTGAGTTAATCCAAGTACCCAACAGTGCAGGTAAGTTGGTCACCTGCTCTTTTCCAGACTGCCTAACTTGGAAACACTGATATAGAAAAAAGTACAACAGAAGCTAGAACAAACAGCTTATCAGAGATAAGCTTCCAGGTCACTCAAGGACACAGACTCAGGGAAGTCAGGATACTCTTCTGTCATGTCAGGAGAACTGCCCACTCCCACTGGAGCTTTGCGCTTGCTGGTTTTCACTGGTAGCTGGGATGAAATCAGTGCAGTTAGCATTATGTTCTAAAGAAATTGATCTTTTACAGGAGCTGCAAAAGGGACTCAGTGTAGTGGTCAGGAAGGGAGGTGGTTAGGACCAGCAGTCTAATGGACAGTTTACATGTGTTCAGTTTGTTCCTTGAAAGACACGTCTCAAGCCCCAACTTGAAGTATCCTGGCTGAGACATATTCAAAGAGGCTAACTGGCCTTTTGGTGGGCTGACTTAAGCTTTGTATCGGTTCTTTGGTTTCTCTTCGTGCTTAAAATAGTTGCAGAGCTGACCCACAAGGAGATCAGGAACCAGACTGGTCACAAGTGGAAATGTATGTGGAAGCTTTGGGCTACTCTGAGCCAGCTTTCTGTTACAGGTGTCCCAGGAAGGCTGAAGTTAGTTTACAGAACTGATTAACAGGAGAGGTAGAACTACAATCCATATCTCTCGGGCTGGCCTTGCCCCAACACAGGGCACAGAAACTAGGTGAAAAGTTGTACGGTTTGTCCAGTGCAGGGAGTGAAGCGAAGTTCATGTTTCAGTATTTTAGTCTAATGAACGTAGAACCATAAAACAGGAGTCTAAAAGAACTTACCATTTAAGTGTAAAACTCCAGATGGAGTCAGTAGATTTGGGTGTCCAAGGGTCCATTTGCTCTGTTGGTTTTTGCAGGTCTCCATTAAAAACTGACTTAAACACATTTGCCAAAGTGCTCTAAGTTCAACAAACAGTCCTTTACTGTGGCTGCAATGTGACCTGACCCTAACAACCTTAACAAATGGTTTGCATTGTGCAAGCCGTTCTTTATAAGTAGTGCATTTGTATCTCTTAAAAAATATCTTCCTTTTTCTTATTATGCAGTTTTTGAATGTTCAGCCTTGGGCTCCTTCTGCACATGCAAGCCAAACACTTTGCCAATGTTCAATGGCCCCGGCCCTCTTTCCACTTTTGTTTTTGAGATACCTCCCTGAGATCCCCAAGGCTGATCTTAAAATCCTTCTGTAACTGAGGCAGGTCATGAACCTGACCCTTCCGTTACTCTCCAGAGTTGCCAAAATTATAGACATGTCCAGCAGGCCTGGCCTTTAAATTGACTCTTCTGGGGAACATTTCCTAACTTAATTAAAAGTAATTAAACAACATTTCTTTTCTGAAAGTGTATAATTTGGCTATAAATGTTTAATGCATTGACTCTGATCTTTTTTTTAAAATAGTGTAAACTGTTGAAGTCTTACTAATTGGTAAAACAACTTTTAAAAGCAAGATAATCTCTAGTCAGATGTTCCTGAAGCCAGCACTCTCCCTGGTATGTTCACACTTGTCCTGGAAGGGGACAGGAATAGGAAAGAATCAGAGTTCCCCTTGAGGCTTGAGTGTTCAGCCTGAGCCAAGGGGCTTCCATGCAAGTTTGTATTTTTCATTTCATATAGATGCTTGACATATTTGTAGTGAATTATAGTCAGAAGAAATCCTATATTGTCCTTTTCAGGTGACAGGAATGTATGAGAGTTGGGTGCCCAAACTTGTGGCCGCCCTGTACAAGAGAGAACCTGACTCCAATGTCATTGTAGTAGACTGGCTGTATCGGGCCCAGCAGCATTATCCTGTGTCAGCTGGCTACACCAAGCTGGTGGGAAATGATGTGGCCAGGTTCATCAACTGGATGGAGGTAAGACTGGAAGAAGGAGCCTTCTGGGTGTAGGATAAAACTCTTGGTTAGAGCTAGACACATGGCTGATTTTTGTTTTATCTTATTGGCTTCTCTCTAAGATCTAAGGTGTTTTCTGGAGCATTTCAAATTTTCACAAGAGCGTTTTTACATTGTGGCTGTGTCTTAGTTTGGGTTTCATTGCTATGAAGAGACACCATGACCAAGGCAACTCTTATAGAGGACAACATTTAGTTGGAGCTGGCTTACAGTTTCTGAGATTCAGTCCATTATTATGGCAGAAAACTTGACAGCATGGAGGCAGACATGATGCTAAAGCCAGGAGTTCTACATCTTGATCCTAAAGCAGTCAAAAGGAGATTGGCATCCTCAGGCAGCTAGAAGGAAGCTCTCTTTGCCCACCCCCACAGTGACACACTTCCTCCAACAAGCCCACACCTACTCCAACAAGGCTATACTTCCTAATAGTGCCACTCCCTGGGCAAAGCATATTCAAACCACCACAGGTAAGAATGACAAAATTATAGAGCCAATAAATCATCCTGCCCTGACCTGTCCTTTGACATCTTAGTGAAGAAATCTGCTGGAATGAAAAACCAAGTAGGTAGCATAAACAAAAGCCCTGCTTTTTAGGACAGAGGGAAGATGACATGTTCAGCCATCTCTTTTTCCTTCAGCTGGCTGGCACGTGTATTTGTATCCTGTTTGACTCTTGTTAGAATATCAACCTCTAACAAAGTAGTTAACAGTATTGTTTGGCTCTTAGAGTAGTTTAGATCCATATAGTCACCCTCCTGGTTTGGGGCAGAGAAGAACTGAGGCAGAAAGAGAGTTGGGGGACATATAGGACATGAAATAAGTAAGGATCCAGAGTTGGAGTTGCCTACAGATTTTTACCCACTTTCTTCTCTTGGGGACGACACTCTTGGAGTTAACCTTGAAGCTTTGTTTGTTTGACAGTGTTTGTTTGTTTGTTTGTTTGTTTGTTTGTTTTTGAGCTAAATAGCTAAAGATTTATACACTGAAATATCAAAGGATGTGGCAGTGCAGGATGATTTATTGGCTTTATAATCTAGTCATTCTTATCACAATGTAAGCTAGAACTCTCATAAGACCAAGTTATTTCAACCAGGGAATCTGATGCAAAAAGCTGTGCTATGTTTATTGGATTGACCATCAAAAAACAAAAGTTCTTTTCTTGGCTTTTTTGTTAGTCACACAAATGAACTTGGAAGAACCAGATCACTTCCCTGGACCCTGGGCTTCTTACATGTAGTCTTAGTTTTCTATTTATGTGATAAAACATCATGTCCAAGCCAACTTAGAAAACAAAGCATTTAATTTTGGGTCCAGGGTTTTCAGGGGGTTAGACTACTTGACCATCATGGCAGGGAGCATGGCAGCAGGCAAGCATGGTGCTCCCATCTCCAGGTACAGCCACCAGGCCGTTAGAGACTCTGGGAATGGTGTGGGCTTTTGAATCCTCCAAACCTACCCCCAGTGACACACCTCCTCCAACAAGGCCACACCTCCTAATGCTTCCCAAACAGTTCCACCTACTGAGGACCAAGCGTTTAAATACATGAGCCTATGGGGGCCATTCTCGTCCAAACCACCACACCTGTTGATGCAGAAAGCTTAGCCATATGTGCCTGTGATCTCTTCCCATTTCCTTTTGTCTGCTTTAGTCATGGCTTGGCTACCTTCAAGGAATAACAAGATACAGGATATTTGAACAAGCAGATAAAGTGCAAAAGTTTATATATACACTTAAATAGTATATATATATATGCATCTACTATGTAGTATATATTTACATACTATAAATAATATATATATTGCATATATATATATATATATATATGTATATATATATATATATATATTTACAGATTTAGATGTTTCCTAGCTTTGAGCTGTAGTTACAGAAAAAAATCTCAACATCACAGAGTATTTGTTTCTTTTAGCTATAATAAGAAATCACTAAAATTCATTTACAGTAGGGCCAATTTTTAAAAGCTGACATTTTCACTTTCATTTTTACTACTTTTAGTGTTGATGTTTGACCACATACCAAGACGCTTTTCATTTATTGTCCCCCAGGAAGAGTTTAACTACCCTCTGGACAATGTCCACCTCTTAGGGTACAGCCTTGGAGCCCACGCTGCTGGGGTGGCAGGAAGTCTGACCAACAAGAAGGTCAATAGAATTACTGGTAAGGGGCATTTTGTTGTTCTGTTTTGCTCATTTATCACAAGAAGCCATGGGACCATCATTCTGAAAGAGAATCTGAGCTGCTTCCGCTAGCTACTCACGTGCATGGTGTTGGGGGCTTGTGCCCACAAGTCATCATCTCTTGTCTGAGCTCCTGCTTTCCTCCTACTGGCTGTGGCACAGGAGTAGGCAAGAGCACTAAGCACAGAGACCCCAACGTTCCTCTGAGAGAGTTCTTTCTCACCTTCCTCTGTTCCACAGATGTCTCCCTCTCACATAGCACCCGGGAGACTGACAAGGACTGATTGTAGAGAACTTTGGAATAAGACAGTCGTCTAGGAAGTGGCTACAAATGATTTGGTGTAGAGAGAGGGAGAAAGGAATTGATCAGTGTTAAAGGTCCTCAGATTCAGAAATAACCTACAGGAGGACATCAGGCCATTGGGTGTGAAACATCTCTGTAGACTGGCCAGGTGAAGAGATGCACGTTAGGGCTGATGGTGCATGTTTGTAATACTAATACTTGGAATGTGAAGGCAGCAAGTTCAAAGCCATTGGCAGCTATGGTGTGTGTTTACAGACATCTAGTAACAAACAGGAGTATCTGGAGAAAGGTGGAGGGTCGGGAAACTCAAATATGTCTGCTTCATTGGTATACATCTGTAATCTGTGGAATTTTACTCAGGATAATCCAGATTTAGAGGCTAGCCTCGGAGGGTGAGAGAGAATGAGAGAGAGCAAGAGAGTGAGTGAGTGAGATTCCATTTTAGAAGAGCTAGGCCTACTTTTTTGACTCTTAGTCACTGGAAGATCCAACTGTGAAGACAATCAGATGATAGAAATTTAAAGACTTCCAGTTACACTCAGAAGAGCAGATGGTGATGTGAGGATTGAACTTACTGCAGACTTTAAAAATACCTGGGACTCCTTTCTTTCCCAAGGCTTGGATCCAGCTGGGCCTAACTTTGAGTATGCAGAAGCCCCCAGTCGCCTTTCTCCTGATGACGCGGATTTCGTAGATGTCTTACACACATTTACCAGGGGGTCACCTGGCCGAAGTATTGGGATCCAGAAACCAGTAGGGCATGTTGACATTTATCCCAATGGAGGAACTTTCCAGCCAGGATGCAACATTGGAGAAGCCATTCGTGTGATTGCAGAGAAGGGACTTGGGGGTGAGTAAACTACAAGTCATTTAAATGTGCGTGTTGAGGCTTATGTCTCAATGACCTTATATCCTGTTTCTTATCTCTACAGAACGTGGTTTCAGTATACACACTTGTGGGGAGGGAAGGTGGCTCCCTGGGTAAAGCACTTGCCATGCATGTGTAAGGACCTAAATCTAGATCACAGAACCCACATAAAAGCCAGATAGACCAATGTTGGTCTGTAATCCCAACAGTCACACAGTGAGGTGGATAAGAGACTCCCTAAAAGCTTGCAGGCCAGCTTGTCTGGTTACAAAGAAGAGATCTTATGTTGGACAAGGTAGAAAGAAGGCAAGGACCACGTTTGTCCTCTGACCTCTCAAATACTAATTTAATAATTATCCCCTTTATGGTGTGGTTTCTAGAACTGTGCTTATAAGAGCACCTAGAAGTGGTAGACAGTTTCAATAGAGGGAAGTTTGTGTTAAGCTGGAGGAATCAACTTCTCTCTCAGGTGTTGTCTATTATGGCTTTCATAAACATTCATAAATATGAAATGACAAGGGTCAAAAGTTCTTGTCAACTTTTGATGGTCAACTTGAGAATTATGGAGGGAGGTGAACAGCTGCCACTAAGAACACATTCTAAAGCAGAATCTGGCACTTGTGCAAAGCAATTTCTGGAGAACTGCAGTTTCCCATGTCTCTTTGCCCAGATGTGGACCAGCTAGTGAAGTGCTCTCATGAGCGCTCCATTCATCTCTTCATTGACTCCCTGCTGAATGAAGAAAACCCCAGCAAGGCTTACAGATGCAACTCCAAGGAGGCCTTTGAGAAAGGGCTCTGCCTGAGTTGCAGAAAGAATCGCTGTAACAATGTGGGCTACGAGATCAACAAGGTCAGAGCCAAGAGAAGCAGCAAGATGTACCTGAAGACCCGCTCTCAGATGCCCTACAAAGGTAAGCCGGAAGCTGTGGCAAGGGGGCAGGATTGGTTAGTGCCATCCCTGTTATGGGCCAAGTCTGTCTATTAGAATAGATAATGAAGTGATGTTACTAAGTCCTGAAGCCTCACGTGTGCCTCTGTTAATACAAAAAGGTTTCCACTAGTCCACTTCATCTAGCTCTTGATTCCCACACCAGCAAGACTCCAGTGACCAGCCATTACTACCGGGAGAGAGCTAATTTGAAACTATCACTTTGAGACTATAAATTCTAGCCCTTTGACCCAATTCAGTCTATTACTTGCTTTTGTAAATAAAGTTTTATTAGAACATGGTCAGATACATTCATTTCCATATTATCTAACACTGCCACAAAGGCAGGCTCAAGTAACTGAGACAAAGACTGCATAGCCCACAAAGGCTAAATTACTTTCTGGAACTTCGTAGAACATTTGTCACTTTGAAAATTTGCTTTACATGAAGTCAAGAACCACCAATATTCAAATATTCCGGGTTTCTTAGTCGGGGTTACTATTGCTGTGATGAAATACCATGACCAAAGAAACTTGGAGAGCATAGTGTTTACTCTGCTCACACTTCCACATCACTCTTTTTCGTCAGAGGAAGTTAGGGCTGGAACTCAAGCAGGACAGGAACCTGGAGACAGGAGCTGATCCAGAGGCCATGGAGGCGTACTGTTTAACGGCTTAACTTTATGGCTTACTCAGCCTGCTTTCTTGTAGAACCCAGGACCACCAGCCCAGAGGTGGCACCACCCACAATGGTCTGGGTCCTCCCTCAATAATCAGTAACTAAGAAAATGCTCCACAGACTTGCCTGCAGACTGATCTTATGGAAGCATTTTATCAATTGGGTTTCCTCCTCTCAGATGGCTGCAGCTTGTGTCAAGTTGGCATAAAACTAGCCAGAACATTAGAGAAGCAAAAGTGCCAGGTTATATGTCCACCTGGCCATGAACTCACTTCAAACTTGAACTTAAAGCTTGGGCTCTTGCTTAGAGCAAGACCAAAAGACGTATCTGAAGAAAGAAGGATGTATTTATTGTAAGATACATCTGGTGTCAAAGACTGATTTTGGACAAATTGCCTTTTGGCAGAGTCCTGGTTGAAGTCTGAAGGAAGGACACGTATTCAATACCTTCCCCAGAGAAAATATGTCTTTCTGTAGTATGCCAGGTGGCCCAGATATTGGAGCATATGGCATTCAAAGAAAGCTTGAAGGCTGTGAGGGAACTCTCATTTTCTCTAACTCTAGAACCAGGTGTGTGGTACGGAAGAGACCATACTCTAAAAACAGGGGGATGCTTACACAGGGTCACCCAGGCTTCTGTCTGGACTTCCTAGAGACACATAGACAATCCCTAACACCAGCCTCTCCTGCAGTGACCTACAGCACTGCCTTAAGAGACAAGATGATTTACCTTTACATTTGAATAATCGTGGGATTTGGTTGAGTTTGTTTGTTTGTTTGTTTGTTTTTTCTGGTTTTGCTTACCTACCCATTTACTTCCATTATAAAATGAGCTGTGAGGTTGGCATAGTTGTGCATGGCTGCAATATATAGCTCTTGGGAGGTATAGGCGGAAGGTCAGGAGTTCATGGTCATCTTCAACTACACAGTGAGTTTGAGGCCAGCAGGGATCGCAGGCACGCACAGATGCACAACATCACTTAAAACAAATAGCTAGACTTAATACAGATTAACACAAGAAGCCGCAACAAAATACACTGAAATGGTTTTTAGGAAAATAAATATCCAAATACAGTTTTGATACACTCTTTGCCATTAGCATTAAGGAAGCTGGATCTCAGCATAAGAGAAATTGAATTTAATAGATAGCAGTATAATAAAAATATGCATAGGAATCTTGGGTTGCAGAAGATAAGCATCAGAATGATCTTGGCCACAGTCACTGTGTTCAGACTCAGGGTTTTGGTGGATAAATGGGGGAAGAACAGGGAAGAGATACAGAAGTTCAAGTTCCTGCTTCCTAGTGGATTTCCTCAGTCAGGGCAATTTGGAACCTCTTTGTAAGACAGACCTCAGGGCTTTTCTGGTGGTTCACAGTAATTCACTGTATTGCATGTGCCACATCCTTCACTGTGTGGATGGTGGAGGAACAGAATGAGAAGGGATGGGGGTGGTACAATGTACCCAGGAAATGGGAAGAAACAAGGTCACACACAGTAACATTAACGCAGTAACAATTACCAAATATGTTTGGCACAGATGTAGAAATGTAAGGTGGCCAAGGTAAGTGGAGGTCACAAGAGCTTTCTGGGTGTGTTTGGTAGTCTCTTCCAGGTTGGCAATTCCAATACAACTTGGGTTTCTCCTGTGCACTATAGCCACACTGAAATGCATGTAAGGTCTGCACTAGTTTCAACAGACACTGTTTCCAAGCCATTTTGATGGTGCAATATGTGCACTTCTTGTTTGGGTGCTCATAAGACATGTTCTATGATTCTGAACTGCTTGATCATTTGGGGACTACAATGCTTCCTTGAAAACTAACATGCCATGTTCCAACGTCCTCCCCAACAGTATTCCATTACCAAGTCAAGATTCACTTTTCTGGAACTGAGAATGACAGGCAACACAACCAGGCCTTCGAGATTTCTCTGTATGGCACAGTGGCTGAGAGTGAGAACATTCCCTTCACCCTGTGAGTATCTCTGGGCCTGTCTCCAAACAGTGGCTAGGTCACAGCCTTGCTCCTTGCCAGAGCCCTTGACCTGGGAAACAGAAGTGCATACTACTCCTGACCTCCCTGTGGAAAAATAAATTCTAGTTTAAAGAAATTAGAATTTAGCTGGGTATGGTAGGTCAAAGCCTTAAAATTCCAACACTTAGGAGGCATAGATAGGTAGATCTCTGTGAGTTCAAGGCCAGCCTGGTCTATGTAAAAAGCCCCTGTTTCAAAACACCAAAAGAAGAAAAAGAAATTGGAATTCAAAAATGGAGATCTTGGCTGAGCAGTGGTGGTACACGCCTTTAATCCCAGCACTTGGGAGGCAGAGGCAGGTGGATTTCTGAGTTCGAGGCCAGCCTGGTCTACAGAGTGAGTTCCAGGACAGCCAGGGCTACACAGAGAGACCCTGTCTCGAAAAACCAAAAAAAAAAAAAAAAAAAAAATGGAGATCTTGTACCATTTTGTATGAGAAAACACTGCTTTCTAATATCTTTTATATTTGTTTACCCTATACTTTGTATTTTCCTCCAACATTTCAGGTCTTTTTTTTTTTTAAGAAGCAATGATTAAGTAGATAAGTTCCCCCAAAAAGAGTTAACATTATGAAGTGGGAATGTGGCTGGGGTGCAGAGCACTTACCTATCATTTGGATGTGGTCCTAGTATCACCAAGAAAAAAAAATTGTAACAAGAAGTCAGTTTACTAACATGTACAGATAGATAGATAGATAGATAGATAGATAGATAGATAGATAGATAGATGAAATAGCATAATTAAAATGCACATGGCAAAGTATTCTTCAGTTTTGATTAGAGAAAATGTCATAATACCTTTCAATAATTCCTAAATGAACACATGTTTTAAAATGCACAGGGCCTATGAAGTGACTGAGCAGAACACACCTCTTCTGGTTCTATCACTGGTTGCAAGAACTTTCCATGCAAGGAAGAGAACAAGGAAATAATTTTCCATAGCTATGGTTACAAGGAATAGGTTTCTTTTACAATGTTTCCTGAAGAAGTACTCAATGGAATGTTTTTTAAACATTTAAGTGTGGCATACCTGTTATCATGGGATATATACCACAAACTGAGTGCTAATTAACATTGACAGTCATGTGGGTTACGGTTCATCATGTCAATAAAGTCAATACAGCTTCTAAAAGTTAGAGTTCTTGAAGACTGGGTAAGCATGATGAACATATAGTCAAGGGAACACATGGAGAAATTAAAAAGGAATACAGGAATTGCACACTGTCTAATGGCCTTTTTCCCTTAAGAACTGTACTGGTTTATAGGGTTAGGAGGAAAAGGGGGTGCAGGATCTTAAGCAGCAAAATGCTGCTGACATTCATCTTGAACGTGTTTTGCATTTTTAAAATATCATCCAAACAGTAAAGCTGTTTAGATTTAGGGAGGAGAAAAGGCAGCTTTCCAGAAGTAACCAACTCTGTGGAATTTTCACTCAGGCCCGAGGTCGCCACAAATAAGACCTACTCCTTCTTGATTTACACGGAGGTGGACATCGGAGAACTGCTGATGATGAAGCTGAGGTGGAAGAGCGACTCCTACTTCAGCTGGTCCGACTGGTGGAGCAGCCCCGGCTTCGTCATCGAGAAGATCCGAGTGAAAGCCGGAGAGACTCAGAAAAAGTAATGGAGCTGAATGGTCTCCCACCTGTTTCGCACGGGTTTCTGTCAGTGCCTAGGAGGGGACCAGGTGGAATGTTAGAAACTCTCCTTTTCAATCCTGTGAGGTCTAGTCAATTATTCCAGAAATGATTCGGGAATATTCTTTCACAGCCACACAGAGGAACTTGTTGAGTACCAATCACACTTGCATACTTGGGAATGGGAATGTTTGGACTTTTTTTTTTTTTAAATCTTAGAATAGTTGCACAAATATCGTGAGGTATATAAAAGATATGTATTTCACAGTCCTCTTATACACACAGCCTGAAGGTAATTTGAACCTTTTTAGTGACTGTGCATTTTAATTAGCATCCATCATCTCGGGTCCTGGTGTGAAACTTCCCACATGTGCCATCATTTTAGTATTCAAAATGACTGAAGTTTTGGAACATCTGGGAATTTAGATTTTTGGGATTGGAGATGCTCAACCTGTAATATTTCTGTATTTCAAGTAAGGAACATGGAAGCCCTGAACTGGTCACGATTATTTGGAACGAGAGCTGGGATCAGAAGAAGGCAATCTATGCATTCATCTAAGACTATTTCTTGCAAGCACAAAATCGTTACAAAATATAGAACAAATAATTTGCACAAAGAGTCCCCATAGAATTGAAATGTTTACACGCTTGTCAAGGGATTTTTGACCATATCATCGATAGGGACAACTCTTTAAAGTAGAATTGAGAAATTCACTATTATTATATTATTATTATTGTCATTATTATTAGTCATTTACTTTTAGACAAAAACTTTTAAGAAATGCTATGGATAGAAAAATTCTACATAGCCTTTGTTCCCAAAGCAGCTGAAGGCTGACTCCCTAATTCTCCTGTAGCAATACTAAGAGGTGGTTCTGTAGCTCCACTATTGGTCAGACCTCCTGAGTGAGACGTGATCTGAATGGCACCCTTACCTATTGGGACTATCACCACACACCACAGTTAACTCCTGGGACGACATAGGATGTAACTGGTCTTGACCCAGTTGTTTTTATTGTCCTGTGTGGCATGTTCACATCTGCTTTCTCCCACAGGGTCATCTTCTGTTCTAGGGAGAAAGTGTCTCATCTGCAGAAGGGAAAGGACCCTGCGGTGTTTGTGAAATGCCACGACAAGTCTCTGAAGAGGTCTGGCTGGTGAGCACCTTGAACCACAGCTCTCAAGCATCTTCCTGAAGTGGCCCAGCTCCTCACCCTGCTGCTCTTGTGCTCGATATCTTAGGGCGTCTCATTCAGCCCTTCTTTCTTATCTTACGCTCACTTGCTTTTTTTTCCCTTTTTTAACCCTTTAATGCTGCATTTCCTTTTGCACTGTGCTAACCTTCATCCCAGACACACAAGTTAACTTTTATTTCTTGAATTACCCACAAGTCCTCATTTCTGACTTTCCCACTACTGCAAGTCTGTTAGCTACATAGATGCTATCTGAAGAGCAGGGACCACGGTGGCCGTGGGTTCAGCCCAGCGTCTCTTATCAGCTGTAGCCACACAGTCACCTCTTTTCTCCAATAGCCACAGATTCCAGGACATAGGACCACAAGGGAGACCTAAACTGTGTCAAAACACCAAATATGGGGACAAAATGGAGTAAGAGTCCAGGAAACTGTTCTCCTATCTCAAAACAACTGCTGGCTCGTCCTACATGACCTCTGGGGCTAATCCCCATGGCAGCTGGCAGCAGAATCTTTCCAGCACGTCAATGCTAAGTGGAAACCAAGCATGTGACCTCCCGTCTCCTCTCCCAAACTCTCAGGATGAGCTGTTTTTATCCCTCCCCTTCTCTCCCCTGCCAGACCCCAAGTGCTAATAGGTTATACCTATTAAAGGGAGATATTAGATAGTGCCACAAAAGCAGTGGTACAGAAACAATGACAGAGGCTGGTCCCAGAGTCTCAGAGCCACCGAGCAATAGGAAAAGCATTTGCTTTTGCTTTAGCCTGTTTTCCAGATTATTATAAATAGAAGTACCAGATAAAGTTAGCCTCTTCAGAAAAAGAATATTAAAGACCTCTTATGAGCACCTCATTTAAAATGACTACTTAAATATACTGTATATGTGCTCACCATGGAGAGATGAGGAAAATCAGACAAAAGCAAAGTAAAACCAGTAAGGCCTTACCAGTAACATTTGACATGTGATTAATAATTGTATTTATAACCTTTGTCACTATACATACATGACATTTGTATGTTTTCGAATCACAAACAGGATTATAGCATGGATCTCAAACATCACTGTGAATGCCCATGAGGAACTTGCCATGGAGAATAGCTAACCAGTATTAAACTGGCAAATGACTCTTAACTGAGGGAAGAAATCTCCACTAAGCCATAAGCACTTTGCCTTTTAGGAATCATAGATCCAAGCCAACTTCATACTTACCTCCTCTTTGAAGCAGGGGACTCCAGAATAAAAATTTAGATATGCACACGAACATACTTATATACATCTACCTTCCCCCACACCCATTTGCAACTCTAAGTAGATATGAGAATATAAAAATAAAGACTTCTTTAATAAGTATAAACCCAAAAATTGAAGAAATACTTACAATTACTTATGAAGTACTCAGGTAATTCTGTTTCTAAGAAACTATCTGTGAAGGTCTAATGATGTGTCTATGGTCTGATCATTGGATTTCTAAACAACAGATACATAGGAAGCCATTTCTTGAACTGTACTCTACATTTAGAAGGTCATTATGAATCAGACAATGCTCTTCAGGGGTTTTCAACTCACAGGTTCTCAGTCTAAGGTCCCCTGTTAACCTCTCAGAAGGCTCACAAAGAAAGAATGAAGCAGACTTCAATATGTTTAGAGCATAGGAAACCTTTGTGACTTTTGTCATCACGGGACTTGGTCTTCTGAAGATGATGCTGAGATAGGGGCCTATCTATATGTGCATCCAGAGTGTCTACTGCCCCAGCAAGCTACTACTTTTCAAGATCTGTTATCTGCACCACACAAGCTCTGTTCTGAATGGTCACTTGGACCCTGCTTCATCATGACAGTGCTGGGTGGGAACAGATTTGTAAAAGACAAAGCAGATGATTAAAGAACCTTTCTTCTGTTTTCCTTCAGACACTGGACAAACCAATAAGAGAAGAAAGCGTCTGAGTTCTTTGAAGACTGAAGAAAACGAAGTAAATTTTATTTAAAAAAATACCCTTTTTTGGGTGTTTGAAAGTGGGTTTTCTTGAATATTAATCCCAGCTCTATCTTGTTAGTTAAATAGAAGACAGTCTCAAATATTAAAAGGTGGCTAACACAAGATGAGGAATCTAATAGCTGATAGCAGGTCTTCCAACATCAGAAGACAGCCAGCAGGACAAAAACATGCCATCTTGTATCCCTTAAGAAGGAATCCTTTGTTCCCAACCATATAAGACTCTTTCATGTGACCCATTTGGTCATGGTCTAAAATTAGTAAGAGCCTCTTATTTTCATTAGAACTCTGAGGTTTTAAATTGAGACCTTTTCAAAGTTTTCCCAAAGTCCAATCTAGTCAATGTTTTTTGTGACATTAGTCAGATCCATTTCTTTTGCCATCAAAACTCTTGGCCTTTGTAACTAGTTCTTTTATCATTGGGATATAGCCCGTCCCCACCAAAAAATAAGGTAACCAGGGACATGTGGACTTGGCAAAAGCAGTGGAAGACATGGCTCATGAAGTCCTGACTCTTAGTCCCACTATGACAAAGTACAAGTCAACAGACATACACAATCCAGATGGAGTAATTTTTAATAGACTTGAATTCGTATGGCTCAATCCCTCCAGCTTTTACAAACGCGTGATATATTCTAGCATTGTTCTTTGGATAGATGTTGAAACTGAGCTTGTAGTTCAGGTGACATATAAATTGAGCTGGAAGAAAATAATGCCTAGGTTGACTGTACTTCTCTCTTTTGCTTTCTTGAGAAAAAGTCCCACTTGTCCCTCTCTGGAACCAAGCCTGACCTAAAACTAAACTATGTACTTCAGGCTTGCCTCAAACTCTCAGCCAGTCGGCCTTAGCTTCCTGAGTGCTGGGTGCTTCATAACCATAATTTTATTATCAGATTTTTCTTACTCGTTTTCCTCCAATTGAACACATTCAATACCCAATAGTATTTCCTTTGAGACTCACCTCCGCCATGCCTCTGTCACACTTCTAACATGTCACATTAATTTCTAGTTTAGATGTGATCAAGATCAAACTCTGCACTGTGCAAAGTACAAAGCACCATTTTTTTTTAAATCACATAAAAGTTGAAATTACTAGGAGACGTGCATAACAATGCTTGTAAACTGTTGTGTGCAGAGAGGAATCCTCAATTGCAGAAGCCATAGGAAGTATCAGGCATATTGCCACTGTTTCGTTTTAAGTAAAAAAAAAAAAATCAATAATGAACAATTATTTATGAATGAGATCTCATATTTTCAGATTGCTTTTACTATACAGTAATATAAAATGATAAAAAAAAAACTTCTATCTCAGAGGCTATTGCCGGGAACAGAAACTGTGAAATGTGTGGGTATCTGAACACCACCCCACATGCAAAGCCCCGCAAGAATACTCATCATTCAACGTGATTCAGAAAGGAAAAGAGTCAAGGGATATATTGAAATATGTCAGAGAAGTAGTTCCGGATATGCTGGAATGTTAGCCCTTGATAGGAGAAAGTTAGTTGTGCCTGTGTCATATAGGACAAAAGGGACTGATTTCATCAGGCTGAGAGTCAAGTCTAACAATAAAATGATGTATAATTTGTCACCGGCATCGCCATTATTGCTAATTCATTGCAGTATATACATACATGCATACATATCTCAATGATGCTTTGGCTTTAAATTTTATTTATTGGCTGTAAATAATGTGTGGGTGTGTAAGAAAGCTTGTAAACCCTGGAAAGGCTGTTGTGGCTATCTGCAGTGTAGATTTGTGGTGCTAACTCTGTGTCCATCTCCATCCGTGATTGTCTGTCTCACTGAGCCAACTCACTCTGATGAAACAGTACAACAAAATAGGCTTTTGAAAGAAGAAAAGAAACTCACCTGTGTGAAGAAATGGAATCTGCTTTCAATAAAACTGAGAACATTTTATCATGATACTAAGTCATCATTTTGTATCATTTAGTCTTTCTAAAGTCTAGGGAAGTTAGATTTGTTTTTAAGCCAGATTCAGACAGCAAATTTTGACTGAGCAGCCACTGTACTGGCTAAAACACAGAAGTAATGTAAGTTTCCCATTAGATGTGGGCCTGATCATCTAAAAAACCAAATGAATCAATGTAATCTCAACTCCTGTGCTCTGTGACAGTGCATATGCCCAGACTCCCTCTGCCCCCATAAGCTAGTGCTACACTCTGGGTACCAACAAGTTCATCACATTTCCCATCTTCTTTTATTCTCACACTACTCTAGATGCCCCCATCTGGAGACTAAACATATATTCAGATACACAGAACAAAGGGAACAGGGCAGGAATCAGTTTCCAGAGTTGCTTCAATGACTGCTGATCCTTGCTTGGTATAAATACCCAAGTATGTGTAGTCTCTCGCTCACAGATCTATGTGGCCAAGACCATACTGAATAAGTTATGGCATCTTGTTCTAAAATCAGGTTACTGAGGACTTCACCTTCCATTGGGGTCCCTCTTTCATGTTGACTCTGCCTTGGAGCACTTACCTGGAGGAATTTACATGAGTAAAACTCTAGAGAGGACCATGCAGCACTGGAGCACTGGCGCTCAGACCACTCAAAGCCCAGAACTGGAACTCTGGGCATATGAGTAAGTTGAGCTAGCTCCCTCACATCCAGTCAAGCTCCAAGAGCAGAAGCTGGTGACCAACAGCTTAGTTACAACCTTAGGTGAGGACCTGATCCATCCCAGCACTTCTTGATTCTTAGCACACAGGGACTGTGTGAAATGTTTTCACCTTGTTACATTTGGGGGCTATGCAGCCGTAAATGAAAGATACATAGTTTGCTCTATATTGATAATTTGCTCCTTATAAGTCAAACGTTCACAAGTCCATATTTTGAAAGCATCAGGTAAAGTTATGCTTTGAAGGTTAGTTATTCCTGTACTGAGTTGTCAGCACTGTGGGGTTAATTTTCAATATTTTCTTTCCCTTCCTTTCTTTTCTTGTTAATATAGAACATAGAATTTATTACAGAGTAAAGTAGGACACTCTCAAGGGGTTGGAGTAGACAATAGCCAAAGCTACCATGTTGTGTTATAGACTACTGTTGAGGAGGTATGAACACATGGGTGGTCACTCCAGATAGGAACTGACAACAGACCAAATTAGTGCTATTACTGAATTCAGTGTGGTTACTTGCAGAAGTATGAGTGAGGGCTTGCTCCCAGGAGCTTCTCCACTGAAAAGCCACTCCAATACAGCTGACAACTCATCAAAGCTGCAGCCCTGGAACTCTCTGAGTTACTTGCTGGCTGCTCACCAGGTGGGGGAGTCTGTTTCCTTCTCAGTTTTTACTACATATATTATTAACATTGGGGTGCAAGGGGTCTTGCGACTCTGCTAAGGTTCAGGGCGTACTTGACAGTTGTACTTCCTGAACCTGAAGAAGCCTTTCTTTAGAGCTTCCTGAATTCTGTCTAGCTTTCCTCCAGGATGGAATGTCTCATTTCAAAGGGAATTGCTACACAACAGATTGCCCATATGTTGCTGTTTTTACCTATTAATACGACACTTTTCCACAGGATAGGATTGTTTATGAAGACATTCTTCAACTAAATGATATCTGCAGCTAAGACTAGCCAACTGAGTTATAGCACTGCCATCCAGAAAATTGGTCCCACACACAAACTCTCATGAAATCCTTGTGGTTTGTGAATTCCACGACTATTAGTTGGCCTACTTCCTCCTGTCCTTCCAGTAGCACAACTGCAAGTTGTTCGGTGGTCTTTTTTTTTTTTCTAGCGTTGAGGACCTGTAGTCAAATGTCCTTCAGCACAAGGGCTGAAGAGGTAAGGTGGAATCTTCCTGGGGTGTACAAAGGTCTAGCTGAAGGGATAGAAAAAGCCAGCTGGCATTGTGTCCCAAGTCCCAGCCAAGCTTACTGAATGCCTCTCCAGTCATTATACTGTGTGTGATAAATAAACTATGTCACTTGGCCTACATGACTCAGCAATAGGGACATTCTAGAGGAAGACAGTTCAACTCTTTCCCTAGAAGCCTGGAGGATGTGGCACAGGAAAGAAAGCATCGGAAGAGATTACCTTCAAGCTCACTGCACTGCAGATGAGTTTCCTTTGAGATGTACATGTTTGCTCAGAACTCCACAGGATGCCCACTGTCCAAAGCACAGCTTGTGCCTCTTGCCAAGCCTGATGGAGAAGCCTAAGTCCCACACCAATTTCTAGTCCAGTTGTCTTCCTAGGATCCAGAAGCTTTACTGTTTGATTCCGTAGCTAAACCTTTTCCCACACACCTTAAAAGTGTTCTGGCTGTCTATTATTTTTCTTTTTCTTCCTTCTTGTATATTTCCTGCCTTGTTGTGGCGGATCAAACATGAGGTCTTGTACATGAGGCTAGAAAAATATCTGCCCTTCCACAATGGCCCATTTTTATTTTAAATTTTTTATTTTTGTTTTGGAGTAGACTAGACCAGTGTATCTGTCCTCAAATCCGTGTTCCTCTTGTCTTTCCTTTGAATTGAGATTACAAATAAGTGTCACCATGTACAGACTTTCCCTGAGGTCTTGAACATGCTAAGTACATACTTTACCAAGAGCTGCACCACCAGTTCTAGTGTATATTTTGATTCCTTCTTGCCTTAAACTAATTTGAACGTGGTCTTATAAAACTCTACTGAACTCTTACAACATTTAGAAACTACTAAGTCACTAATATTCTAGACAAGGAATTTATTTTGTTCATTAGATCTTTTTGGAGTTCAGAGTTATAACCAATAAGTTATTCCTGTCCCATACTTCATGAGCGCCTTAAGCTGTCTATCTATCTCACCAGCTCTGAACTTGTAGGCTGAGTATTAAAAATGCAGTGACTGTGTCTGGTTGTCCTCACTGCCATTCTACAAACTTCATGTGGCTCTCTTAGTATACTAATTCATTCCAATCAGGAATACTTGAACTTGGCATTGTAAATGCTTTCCCATAGCAGAGTTCCAATGGTGGGAAAATCCTACACTTGATATTTTCAGTCTTCTTATCAGAGATTATGTTACAATAAAGCTGAGTGGGAAGCCCCATAGGCTTATGAATAAAGGTTATGTATAGAAAGAGCCACCCAGGCATGAAACTCAACCCCTCCCAGGTATAACTTTTGCTTTTTGAAACAAGTCAAAATAAGCAAAGAGATGCGCAAGAAAACAAGGGTGAGGCCAGAACAGGTTTATATACTCAAGTTGGTTTTAGGGACAGACATACAAGTAACTGGCACCTTGAAGGCTACTAGAAATGCTATCCATGAGGAGCTGGGGTGATGGCTCAATAAAGTGCCTCTGGTGCATGCATAAAGACCTATTTGGGTACCCAATCTAGCACTCTCAAAGCAATGTGGAAAGTGGAATACCTAGAAAATCTCAAGCCAGCTAGCCTGAAGGATGAAGGTGAGGACCAGCATCCAAAGTTGTCTTCTGACCTCCATATGCATACAGCAGCAGGAGTATACTTGAACTCACAGACAGCAACACATACTACATGAATACACACACACACATACACACACACACACACACACACACACTTTGTTTTTAATTTAGAAGAGAAATGCAGTTGATACTGGTTTGTGGTCCTAGATGGCCATGTTGTCCTCTGCTAGAGGAACAGAATGGCAATGGACACGGAGGAGCCCTAATTAAATGCAATCTCAGTATAAGGCTCAATTTACAGTCTCGAGATTTGCTGATGCATTATTTACTGTTCCCAAGATTCCTATTAACACTGACTTTGACCTTCAGGAACAGTTACCAAACCTCAAGCAAAACACAAGGAATCAGGTCAACTTGTAGGTGTGGACTTGCAAGCCAAGGGTGAAGTGGGCATATGAGTTAATCACCAGGCAGAGAAACAGCATCTTTGTTCTGGGACTGTGATAGCTGCAAACATGTCTGATGGGATAATGATGGTGGAGTGTGTTCTGACAAAACTGCGTGGAGGCTTCTCTGATGTTACTTAAATGAAAAAGCTTCTGTAGAGGGGTCTGCTGGGCAGCGATGGAAAGTTTGTCCACACTTCAAATGATTTTCAAACATCGCACCTCTTCAAATTCTGATGGTTTGAAATATTAACTATACTCTTTTCAAAATTGTGCCCCATTTTATGCTGTGGTACTGTATGCTGTGCTGTGCTACCGTGAGGCAGGTAAGGCTGTTATAAGAAAGCAGACTGAGCAAGCCATGGAGAGCAAGCCAGAAGCAGCATTAGTCCATGGTTTCTGCGTCAGCTTCTGTGTGCAGTGCCTGCCCTGACTTCTCTCAATGGTGGGCTGTAACTGGATATGTAAAGTAAGTAAACCCTTTCTTCCCCAAGTTGTACTTAGTCATGATTGTTTGTTACAGCAGCAGGAAGCAAACTAATACATACTTATTGTCTCCTATTTTTCTGTGCCTCAGATTTTGACAGACTTATTTTCTCTCTAATATCATTTAGCAACATGCTCACTCTCTCTCCTGCCATAATTCATACTACTTTAAATATCTATGCTTTGAGGCTAAAGAGATAGCTTGATGGTTTAGACTGCTTCTTGTCCTTCCAGAGGTCTCAAGTTTGGTTCCTAGTATCCATGTTGTGTATCTCAAAACACCCTGTAACTCCAGCTCCAGAAGATCTGATACCTCCTTCTGATCTCTACAGGAACCTACACTCTTGTGACATGTACACACACACACAATCCATGGGTAATCTTTAATTACCCATGCTGTGACAGATTTTGTTTCCAAGAGATGGCCTTTACAGAATCATCCATTCCTAGTGTGCTTGTAGTATTTCCTTGCCAACACTATTAAAAGTTTTGGATTCTATCTTCCCACCCCTCCGATTCTGTGTGGGCACTAATGGTGTTTCCACTAATAGAATATGACAAAAATGACTCAGCCTGGGGCCAGCCCATCACTAGCTC